CAGCCATAACACTGGCTCTGGAGAAATGTCTGTGAGGATTTGCTAGAAGTAGGTGAGTGCCTCAGATATTCCTAGCTGATACTATCACTACCGATGGCCTGAGACTGAAATAAAACACTCATTATTGTTACAGTGTCAATTTCTCCCCATATTGATTTATAGATTCAACATATTCCCAATAAAAAAAAATCTCAGCAGGCTTTTTTGGTAGAAATTGTTATGTTAGTTCTAAAATATAAATAGAAATGTAAAGAGCACAGAATAGCTAAAATAATTATAAAAAAGAATAAAAAAAGGCAGCCCTGATGGCCCAGCGGTTTGGCGCCGCCTTTAGCCCAGGTTATGATTCTGGAGACCCAGGAATAGAGTCCCACGTCGGGATCCCTGCATGGAGCCTGCTTCTCCCTCTGCCTGTGTCTCTGCCTCTCTCTCTCTCTCTCTCTCTCTCTCTCTCTCTCTCTCTCTCTCTGTGTCTCTCATGAATAAATAAATAAAATCTTAAAAAAAAAAGAATAAAAAATTTGGGGGAAGCCTGGGTGGCTCAGCGGTTGAGCATCTGCCTTTGGCTCAGGGTGTGATCCTGGAGTCCCGGGATCGAGTCCCACATCGGGCTTCCTGCATGGAGCCTGCTTCTCCCTCTGCCTGTGTCTCTGCCTTTCCCTCTCTCTCTCTCTGAGTAAATAAATAAATCTTTAAAAAATAAATAAATAAATAAATAAATAAATAAATAAATAAATAAATAAATAAATAAATAAATAAAATCTTAAAAAAAGAATAAAAAATTTGGAAGGCTTAACTATCTGATTTTAATTAAGACTTAGTATAAAAAGCTTCTATAATCAAAACAGTGCACTATTGGCAGAGATAAACATACAGATCAATAGAACAAAACAGAGATTAGAAATAGACCCAAAAACATACACCCAAATATTTTTCAATACTACTGTCAAGGCAACGGGATAGGTTAATCTTTTCAACAAATGGTGCTGGAACAAATGGACGTCCATACACAAAATCCTGTAAAAAAACCTTTACCATATATAAAAATCAACTCAAAATGGATCACAGGGATGCCTGAGTAGCTCGGTGATTGAGCATCTGCCTTTGGCTCAGGGTGTGATCCTGGGATCCGAGACCAAGTCACACATTGGGCTCCTTGCGGGGGAGCCTGCTTCTCCCTCTGCCTGTGTCTCTGCCTCTCTCTGTGTCTCTCATGAATAAATAAATAAAATCTTTAAAAAAACCAAAAACTTCTATAGATTTAGGTGTGCTGTAAAATATAAAATATACAACAAATTTTGAAGACAGAATAAAAAAAAGAATGTAAAATATTTCATCATTGAATTTTTATATCACTTAAATGTTGAAGTGGTATTATTTAAAGATATTAGGTTAAATATATCACATTAGAATTAAGTTCACCTTTTAAAAAAATTTGGCTGCTAAAAATTTTTAAATTACATATGTGTTTTACATGATATTTATTGAATGGCGCTAGCCGAGAGGTAAATAAAGGAGAAAATCTTATTGACTGCAAAAATTTTTTAAATAGGGCACAAGAATGAATCACAAGAGAAAAAACATTACAAACTAGACTCTTCAAAATTAAAAACTTTTGCTTTTTTAAAAACTATCATTAAGAAAATGAAGAGATAAGGGAGGTGGGTGGAGGATAGGCTAGATAGATGATAGGGATTAAGGAGGGCACTTGTTATGATGAAGAGCACTGGGTATTACATATAAGTGATGAATCACTAAGTTCTACTCCTAAAACCAATATTATGCTGTATGTTAACCATCTAGAATTTAAATAAAAGTTTGGAGACAAAAAATAATTTATTTATTTATTTATTTATTTATTTATTTATTTATTTATTTGACAAAAAATAATTTAGAAAAAGAAAAGAAAATGAAGAGACAAGCCATAGCCACAGACATAGATTGGGAGAAATATTTGCCAATCATTTGCCTAATAAATGATTTGCATTCAGAACACATAAAGAACTCTTATAACTCAATAAGAAGCAAATTGCCTAACTGTAAATAGGGCAAAAGATTTACAGAAACTTCATCAAAGAAAACCTATGGATGGCAAGCAGTCACAAGAAAAGATGCTCAACATCATTAGACATTAGGAAATACAAATTAAAACCAAAATGAATTACCACTTTATACCCACTAGAATGGCTAAGATTAAAAAGACTGCTGATACCGGGACGCCTGGGTGGCTCGGTAGTTGAGCATCTGCCTTTGGCTCAGGGCATGATCCCAGTTTGGGGATCGAGTCATGCATTGGGCTCCCTGCGTGGAGCCTGCTTCTCCCTCTGCCTGTGTCTCTGCCTCTGTCTCTCTCTGTGTGTCTCTCACGAATAAATAAATAAATAATCTTAAAAAGGGAAAAAAAGAATGTTCATTGCAGCTTTATTCATAATTGCCCCAAGCTGGAAAGACCTCAAATGTCTTTCAACTGGTGAATGGAAAGACAAATTATGGTACGTCATACAGTGAAAATACTACTCAGTAATAAAAAGGAACTATCTGCTGACACATACAACATGAAAAAAATCTCCGAAACATGCGAAAAGAAGTCAGACACAAAAGACTACATGTTATAAGACTTCATTTATATAAAATTCTAGAAAAGTAATTTCTATAGTGTTAAAAAGCAAGTAAGTAGCTTCCAGGAATAAGGAGGTGGGAGCAGTGGATTGACTAAAAATCTAAATGAGGGAATTCCTTGGGGTGATGCAAATATCCTGTACTATGATTCTATGATTGTACGGATGGCTATAAAACTCCAGAATTATACACTTGGTAATTTTATTTTATTGTTATTATTTTTAAGATTTATTTATTCATGAGAGATACACAGAAAGAGTCAGAGACAGAGGCAGAAGGAGAAGCAGGCTCCCTATGGGGAACCCAGTGCAGGGACTTGATTCCAGGACCCCAGGATCATGCCCTGAGCCAAAGGCAGATGTTCAACCACTGAGCTACCCAGGTGTCCAGGTGATTTTTTTGTATGTACAATATACTGTAACAAAGCTGACCAAAACAAACAAACAGAACATAAAATACAGTTTCTGATTCCCAAGGATTTGCATTTCTAAAAATTCCTCTCAAATTCCCAGATGACACTGATGCTGTTATATCTGGGACCTCACTGGGAGATCCCTCGTCTAGCTAGAGACACTGCCAAAAGTGGTCTATAAATAAGCTGAGGTCATCTTAATTCATGTCCACTAAGCACAGTCACCTAGCACTCCTGTCTTCAAGAGGACAGACACAACAGAAAATACTGCAGCTTATACTTCTTGACATACCTCCTGAAGGCCTAGAGCTTTCTGGATGAAGAAGAGGTCCTTTGGGAGTAAATGAAAGCACCTCAGATTCAGAAGAAATTTGACCAGTCAAAATGTCCCTTTTTTTTTATTTTAAGATTTTATTTATTTATTCATGGGAGACACACAGAGAGAGGCAGAGACATCATAGGCAGAGGGAGAAGCAGACTTCCTGTGTGGAATCTGATGCAGGACTTGATTCCAGGACCCCAGGACCACAACCTGAGCCAAAGGGAGATGCTCAACCACTGAGCCACCCAGGTGCCCCAACATGTCTCATTCCTGCAACTCAGGCCTACGTTCTTAACAGACCAGGACAGTTGCTCAGGAACACAGCTCACACCGACAGGCCCTTGCTCATATTGTTATTTTGTCCCAAAAGACCTCTCCCCGACCTCAACTGCTGAAGCTGTACTTCTAAGCCCAGCCCAAACGGTATTTATTCCCCCCACAGAACCATATGAAGTACCCCCTTTCCTTTTTTTTTTTTTTTTAAGATTTTATTCATGAGACACACACACACACACACAGAGAGAGAGAGACAGAGAGAGAGAGAGAGAGGCAGAAACACAGGCAGAGGGAGAAGCAGGCTCCTATGCAGGGAGCCCAACGTGGGACTGGATCCCAGGTCTCCAGGATCACACCCTGGACTGAGGGTGGCGCTAAACCACTGAACTGTCAGGGCTGCCCAAGTACTCCCTTTCCTACATTCTGTCATTCATATGTTCCTTCGTTATAGTACTTATATCTAGCCTTACCTGTGTATCTTAATATCTAGAGAATCAAACCAATTTCTAATTGAAGGAATTATTAACAGTAGGCGTACTTAGAAAACAAAGGCATTTAGAGAAGGCACAGGGTTTTTTGTTTTTTGTTAGTCCTTTTTCTCTGGGAGTTTCTCTCTCTCCTTCTGTGATAATAACCCTGATTAGTCCTTGCAGTGCTGGTTGGGCCAACTCCATCCACTGGCCCCAGAGGTGGGCTCAGGACTTAGGTTTGACCAATCTGAGTCTTTTTTCCTCCTAGCCCCAGCCCTCGGTTCATGATGGGAACATTACCCCACCCAGACCAACCAGATATCTTCCCAGTGTTCTCGCCAGAACCACAGGCAGAGAAGTTGACACCTAGAAGTCTTAACATATAATTAAAGACACAAATAGAGTAGACAAGGAAAATTATTACACAATACTCATCACAATGACCTAGGCTACTGTGTGGTGATCCTCAAGCACCCAAAAATAACATGAGAGAAAGGCACAAAGGAAACATTGAGGACAACTTATAAATCTGGTCAATCACTGAAGACTGAAGACTCTGGCTTATTTTAGATTAGCTAAGAGGCCACTTTTGTGTCAAACGTAAAAGGTAAAGGGCACAACCCTTGGACCTTCTCTAGGCTTTAACACTAATGAATGAAGCTTACACAAGGGTCAAAAGAGAATGAGGTCCAAAAGAACAAACATCAGAATCCAGCAAAAGGTAAATGGAGGCAAGAGATGTGCATGTGTCCATGAGATGAACATCAATGGGTTTCAGAGGACTCTGCAGGAAGTGTGTCCAACTAGCTGGCAACACGAGCTCCCGAAGTGCGTGGACAAGGGATGCACTAGTCCTTCAAGAGGTAACCCTCAGGAAAGGAGCTGCACAGGCCCCACTTACCTGTGTGATTATGCGCTCTCCATCCTTATAGACCTTCTCTCCTATTACATCCACAATCTTCATTCGTTCTGACACCTGAAACAATAGACATACCCATAAACTATAAGGAAAAGATCTCAAATGAAAGTCACAAATAATATCCAAACAATTGATTAGAATCATCCAATTTGAAAATTTAATAGATTAAATTAGTTTTAAATCTTAAAGCTCCAAAAACAGACTCTTATTCAAATACACTTTACCTCTAGTGATTTAAGGAGGGGCACAGATTCAATAAATGATTCAAACATCCTCCTCTTTTTTGCATTGTTTTTCACTATGATTCTTCTAAAAGTCACACGGTCCTACAAGAAAGAACATGAAAATTCTGGTAAATGCCTCTGTGAGAGAACATCTATGGTTTACCTAACTGGATGACAGCAAATATTAGAGGACTATGGAATGTACTGGGCCAACTGAGTGTTTAATGACATTTTAATCTGAGTCATCACTGGAAGCGAAAGACTTGTAGCCTGTGTCAGACAGATGGTCCACATGCAATTGCTTGCTATCTAGTACTCAATGAGTGCCACCTATGGGTCATAAATAGAACACAAAATACAAATCCCAATCAAACACTTCCCAGGTCACAGTTACTGTTCAATGTGAAAGGTGCACATTCAAAAAAAAGGAGATGTAACAACCACTTCAGGGCTCTTGCCCTGAAGACTTTACAATCTCAATGGGGAGACAACACAAAGTATATGGGAATAAAAAATCTACAGTTCAAGACAGCATATCTAATGTGTCAGGTGAACAATAAAGACAAGAGTAAGTGCCACAAGAATTCTGAGGAGGTAGAGAAAGATCACAATAGGCTGGAGTGATCAAGGGTATTTTTGTTGCAAAAATATAAATTTTGGTGGGGCATCTAGGTGGCTCAGTTGATGAAGCATCCAACTCTTGATCTTAGCTTAGGTCTTGTTCCCAGGATCATGAATTCAAGCCCCACACTGATCTCCACACTGGGTGTGGAGTCTACTTAAAAAGCAAATACATATATAAATATTCATAATATAAGTATTATATATAAATCATGTTTATAGATAATTATATAACTATACATAAAATTTTAATAATTAATGGAGAGGGGAGGCAGGAATGTGAAAAGTCCCTTGACTCCAGCGAGTTATGGATTCTGATCAGAAGACAGCTAACCAGAGCTACAGTCAAACTCCTCTCAGATATGTGTACATATGTGTGAGGAGGGACACACAGCCAGGAGAATATTAATTGCTTAGTTTTAGGTTTTTTGTATCTAAGTTAATTGTACCTTTTGTCCACCTCAGGTTGGGAGAGGAAGGTATCTTTTTTTTTTTTTTTTTTTTCCTTTGAAAGCAACATAATGAAATCCTCAAGGCTGGCAGAATGATACATAGCAAGGTAAGGACATGATGTTTAACTGTAAGTCTGCTATTTTAGTATGCTCTATGATGGGTTGGTAGTGGGGTAGAGAAATCACATAGAAGACAAGTGAGTTGAGATGTTCTAATGGGTTTTACAGCTCATATTCCATAAGCTATAGAATTCCCAGCCCCTATCTCATACCATGTTTTATCTGCCTTAAAAGAGAAGTAAAAAAAAAAAGAGAGAGAGAGAGAGAAGTCACCTACTACACCCTATATTCCTAGTATGAGCTATAACAGACTCCAACTCTCCCTCTAAACTGCTGTACAAATCATGTTTGTTTTTTAGCATATAGCAAGATTCTGCTCCATTTCTTCTCCATCTGTCTGCTTGAAAAGAGCCATTCAATCTCTGATTGCTCTAATGGGCTGCATGATTTGCCACTACTTTTTTAAGTCCAAGGTTAGGGATGTATCATTTAAAATGTTACTGTTATACTTTGGAATATTATTTCATTATCTTTAGAATTCAATTTCCACATGTTTTCTGGGCCAATCTAGGCACGAGTGCTACAGAAAGAGGACAATCAAAAATGAGAAAATTGGAATTATAAAGTTCTCTTCTTTCTGAGTAGGCATTGTTAAAAATTTTTTTAATCCATCTATAACGTCACAAACATTGCTACAATTGCAATAGCAAACTATTTCTAGCTGAAGAGAAAACAACTGATATCTCTCAAAGTGACTTATTTATTCATGTTCCAACATTTTCTATGAGTTACTTCCACCCTTCCCAGAACTCTCATGCTATGCAAGGCCAACTCCTGTGATTGTGGAGGGCATGAAAAAGCTTTAAGGGAGCTTCCAACAGAGCTGTGAGGAGAAAACTCCCACTGTGAAATAGTGGATCCTTCAGGCGGCAAGTGTTTAGCGTCAAGCTTACAGCCTAAAGTTCAGAAAAGAAAAGGAATACTACCTTTTCCAGTGATTGCAAGCATTTCCTAAGAAAGTTTCTATTGACTTTCACTTTCACAAGAGAGAACAAGAGCAGAGGCTAAGTATAGTGGTCATGGTGGCAACTGCCCCCACTAAGAGAAGGAATGTAGAATTCACTGTGAGAAACTTAAGTGACTACACCAAGTCCTCCCTGCTTTAGCCTCAGAAGGCATTTCTGAAGCCTTGGAAGCTACAAGAAATCAGACTGTAGAGGACCATCAGGGAGTCACTTTTGAAGAGGTGATAGTAAAGCTTTTGAGAGGGTTTGGGCTATAAAGTACATGAACAAAGCAGAAGAAAAACAGACCAGAAGGGCATATTGATAGGATGCTTAAAACAGCAGGGAAAGGAAGAAAAGGCTGAAAAGGATAAGGCTAGGAAGTAGAAAGACAAGGCAGGGATCTCAGGAGAGAATGGTCATACGCAGCACCACAACTATGGAGAGCAGGTGTTGCCATTCTGTAGCCCCTACCTTTTGCCAGACATCAAGAGAGTTGCTTCTTTTATGTCCATCTGTTGAATTCTCATACCCAACCATGAGACAGGTAGCTTTATAGTTCAATTAAAAAAAATTATATTGTGACTTTCTCTTTGACTTAGGAATTCTTTAGGAATGTGTTATTTAATTTCCAAGTGTTTGTGGAGATTCTCCTGTTACTTCTCGGTTACTGATTTCTGGATTTATTCCATTGAGGTTACAGAATACATTCTCTGGTTTAAATTCTTTTAAATTTGCTAGGTTTTATTTTATATCCCGGGATATAGTCTATCTTGGTGAATATTCCACAGGCTTAAAAAGAATGAGTACTCTACTATTGTTGTACCCAGTGTTCTATAAATTTCAATTAGATCTTTTTGGCTAATGGTGTGGTTAAGTTCTTCAATATCCTTCCTGATTTTCTAATTGTTCCATCAACTGTTGAGAGAGAAGTGTTAAAGTCTGCAACTATAACTGTGGATTTGTCTCTTCTTTCAGTTTTATTCGTTTTTGCTTCACATATATATTTTTTAAAGATTTTATTTATTCATGAGAGACACACACACACACAGAGAGAGAGACAGAGACAGAGACACAGGCAGAAGGAGAAGCAGGCTCCATGCAGGGAGCCCAACTGGGACTCCAGGATCATGCCCTGGGGTTAAGGCAGGCACTCAACAGCTGAGCCACCCAGGGATCCCTGCTTTGCATATTTGGAGGCTCTGTTGTTTGATGTATACATATTTAGGGCTGCTATGTCTTCTTGGTACATTAACCCTTTCATTATTATGTTATGTTCCTCTTTGTCCCTGGTAACTTTCCTTGCTCCTTGCTTTGAGATCTACTTTATCTGATACTAATATAATTACTCCTGCTTTCTTGGTAAATGGTTGCATGGTATATATATAACTCTATCTTTTTACTTTCAATCTATACTATGTGTGTTTTTTTAAGATTTTATTTATTTATTCATTAGAGACACACACAGAGAGAGAGGAAGAGACACAGGCAGAAGGAGAAGCAGGATCCACACAGGGAGCCTGATGTGGGACTCAATCCTGGGACTCCAAGATCATGCCCTGGGCCGAAGGCAGGCGCCAAACCACTGAGACACCCAGGGATCCCCATCAATCTATATCATGTTTGAGAGAGTTTGGTGCAGATAGAATAGAGTTGGTCATCTTAAAAAATCCATGTGATTTGTTTCTGTCATTTAGTTGGTATAATCATATTATATTTACAGTAACTATTTATATATTAAGGTTTAAGTCCACCATTTTACTGTTTTCTGTTGTTCCCCTTTGTTTTGTTCTTCTGTTTCATTTTCCTGTATACCTATGGGTTACCTGATTAAAGCTTTTGAATACATCTCTTTGTACAGATTATTTTAGCAGTTGCTCTAGGTATTATATTTATATGTATGTAACTTAATCACGATCTACTGATGTCAACATTTTATAAGTTGGAATAAAGTGTAGAAGATTTACTTCCATTTGGGCCCCTTTACCTCTTCCTTTTAGACTATAACTATCTTAAGTATTTTCTTTTTTTTAAAGATTTTATTTATTTATTCATGGGATACACACAGAGAGAGGCAGAGACACAGGCAGAGGGAGAAGCAGGCTCCATGCAGGGAGCCCAACGTAGGACTCGATCCCAGGACTGGGATCACACCCTGGGCCTAAGGCAGGTGCTTAACCACTGAGCCACTCAGGTGTCCCAAGTATTTTCTCTACATACACTGAGAACCACATCAGACAGTAATTATTTTGGTTATTATTTTGATTATTATATTTTCCAGTTCCCATTTGGATCTTCTTTCTGTCTTCTATTTCTCTGAGACCTTCTATTTTTTCTTTCTTTTTTTAAAGATTATTTATTTATTTATTAGAGAGAGAGAGAGAGAGAAAGAAGCAGGCTCCATGCTGGGAGCTTGACGTGGGACTCGATCCCAGGTCTCCAAGATCACACCCTGGGCTGAAGGCGGCACTAAACCGCAAAGCCACCGGGGCTACCCTATTTTTTCTTCATTTTTTTCAAGTGTGTCCATAATTGCAATTGTGGCTTATATAATTGGCTATATAATGACTGCTTTATTATTTTTTAAGATTTTATTTATTTGAGAGAGAACAAAAGAGGGAGAGAGAGCACAGAGGGGGGGGAAGAAGTAGGCTCCCTGCTGATCAGAGAGCCCCATGTGGGGCTTGATCCCAGGACCCTGGGATGATGACCTGAGCTGAAGGCAGATGCTTAACTAACTGAGCCATCCAGGTGCCCCATGATGATTGCTTTTTTTTTTTTTAAAGATTTTATTTATATGAGAGAGAGAGAGACAGAGACACAGGCAGAGGGAGAAGCAGGCTCCATACAGGGAGCCTGACGTGGGACTCGATCCCAGGTCTCCAGGATCACGCCCTGGGCTGAAGGCTGCGCTAAACTCCTGAGCCACTTGGGCTGTCCTGATGATTGTTTTATTTATTTATTTTTTTTAAAGATTTTATTTATTTATTCATGAGAGACACAGAGAAAGAGAGGCACACTGCGCCACCGGGGCTGCCCCTCCTGATGATTGTTTTAAACCCTTGTCAGTTAGTTGCAATAGTTGTGTCATCTTGGTATTGGCATCTGTTGATTGTCTTTTCTCACTCAGGTTGAGAATTTCGCTGTTCTTTGTATAACAAATGATTTTCTATTGTCCCTCAGACATTTGGGGTATTATGTTGTGAAATGATGTATCCAATTTAATCTTTTTCTTTTGCAGGCACAATTTAGGTATAGTGTGCATGTACATGTGGGAGTGAATGTTCAGCTCCCCTCTGGATTCCACTGACACAACCCTGGCAGGGAAAGTGGAATGCCAACTAATAATACTGTGTATCTCCTCATTTTGCCTCTTTGCTACTGGGTGAGGCTGTAGTACGTTCAGTTTGCTGCTAGTCCCAGTGACACTGGAAAGTAGAAGCAATTTTTCCTTTGGTATTTGGCTAGAATAGAGTGGTAGGTGTTCTGCTAGGCTGCCCTTTTCCTGGTCCTTTAGCTAAAGGGGTCAGGCTTTTCTTGAGGTTGTTTTTGTATGTACTTGTTGGTGGATCTAGGTTGTAGGCTTTTCCAGAATGCCATCTGGTATATATATGGGAAGCAAAAAAGAAAACCCAGGAAATTCACTGTCTTGTCCGTCTTTAAATCCCAAGATCCCTAGCCATTCCACCTTATCCCTATCCTCCCCATCTTTCTAAGTTTGTTGTATGATATCTGGACTGTTTTAGCTTTTTGTTTTTGTTTCTTTAAGATTTTATTTATGTACTGGAGAGAGAGAGAAAGTACACAAGCAGGGGAGGGGCAGAGGCCGATGGAGAAGAAGACTCCCTGCTGAGCAAGGAGCCCAATGTGTGGCTCCATCCCAAGACCCTGAGACCATGATCCGAGCTGAAAGCAGACACTCAAACTGAGCCACCTAAAGTGCTCCTGAATTTTTTTAGTTTTAAGAGATAAAACTAGTGAGGAATGGAGCTATTCCATCTTGACCTGGACCAGTAGTTGTCATAAGTACATTTTTTTTTAAGTTGGTTCCATGCCCAAGGTGGGGCTCAAACTCACAACTTTGAGATCAAGAATAGGTAGCATGCTCTACTAACTGAGCACCAGCCTTAGCATCAATATATTTTAAAACTGAGTTTATTTTCCCTACTACTTATTGATCTATGATCTATCCTTGAGTTTTTTCTTTTTTATTTTTTTAAAGAGAGAGAGAAAGAGCAAGCAAGCAAATAAGAATGTCAGCAGGGTGGGGAATGGTAGGGGGAGAGGAGAGAGAGAATCTTAAACAGGCTCCAAGAAAGGCTTGAGGTCATGACCTGAGCCAAAATCAAGGGTTGGATGCTCTACCAACTGAGCTGCCTAGGTGCCCCATCCTTGAGTTTTTCAATCACTAGGTCCCCAAGTGTGTGATTTATTCTTAAGCCATTACATGTCTCATCTCTCAAGACACACTATACCAAAAGACAGGTCTTTTCTTGTATATCACAGGAAGTGCTCTGTCTTTAAAATGTGATTTCATTTGAGGAACTATGTTGATAATGCTATGGTATACAATTAATTCTGCTTGTAAAGTAAATGGAAACACATTATCACAGATGTCAATATTTTAAAAAGTGAAATTTGGAATCTGTACAAAAGGATAATTATTTTGTTTGTTTGTTTTTTAAAGATTTTATTTATTTATTCATGATAGTTATCACAGAGAGAGACAGAGACACAGGCAGAGGGAGAAGCAGGCTCCATGCACCGGGAGCCCGACGTGGGACTCGATCCCGGGTCTCCCGGATCGCGCCCTGGGCCACAGGCAGGCGCCAAACCGCTGCGCCACCCAGGAATCCCAATTATTTTGTTTAAGAAGGAAGAGAGTTATAGATTCTGAAGGCTTGATACTGAAAGGAAGCAAGATGGACCATGGGTAATAGAGGATAGGGATCACAGCAGTCGTGTGCCATAGACATTCTAGGAAAGTTCTCTTTCCCAGAGTATGGCCATCAGCCTTTCTAGTCATCCACACCTATTGGATATTGGCATGGACCAATGCACATGAACAAGTGGATGGGTGGCCATAGAGAAAAGTTAGTCCTGGGACAGCTAGAGATGACAAGCACTGTTGGCAAAGCTCTCTATGACAATTATTTTTCTAGGCTGCCTCTTGCATGGAAAATTATCCCCTTTCTCTCTACCTGTCTGATAAAAACATAAACAGAAAGCATAGTAAGAACTGACATGACTATAAGGTTATAAAACCCAGTCTTTTCCTTGCAATTTGGAGTAAATGGTTTGTTGACAAATTATTTTAGAGAAATGGAAAAACACATTGGCACAAATCCTTTCATAATGTATTTCAGAGAACTGGCTACAAAATATAGTGTGAACCATAGCTTAAGGACAGCAAATTCAGAAGTAAGGGGGATTAATACTACGCCATGCAAGGATTATCATTTCTCTAACTCACCAGTCCCCAAAGGGAGCCTTCTGAAGTGGCGACAATGGTAGCAGCTCTTGGGGTGTTGTACATCAGAGCAAGTTCTCCAAAACTGCCACGGTTGTCATACTGACCAACAGAGCGAGTTTGATTATCTTTTGTTACTAAAATATCATAGGTTCCCCTGGAAATACAAGAAATAATTTCATTTATTACTTCCAATAAATTTCATTTGTTACTTCTAAATTTAAGACCTGACAGGTAGTACATAAATAGAAGGTACAAATGATATAAAACAGGCAACTTCCAACATATTTTTGCTAGTATACAAAAATACAATAGATTTTTGCATTTTGACTTTGTATTCTGTGACCTTGCTAAACTCACATATCAGTTCTAGGTGCTTTTTTGTAGCTTGGGATTTTCTAGGGAAGATAATGTTTAATGTTATCAGCAAACAAAGACAGTTTCACTTTTTCTTTTCTAATCTTTATGTCCTCCCTTCCTCCCTCTTTTTCTTCTTCTTTTATTCATTGCCTCATTGCATTGGCTAGAATCTACAATACAATACTAAATAGAAGTGGTGAGAGCAGATATCCCTGCCTTGTTCTTGATCTTAAGGGGAAAACAGTCAATGTTTCACCCTTAACTATGATGCTGGCCAAAAGTTTTTTAAAAAATTCCTTTAACTGGAGTGGTGAAAAACCACATCTATTCCTAGTTTGCTGAGAGTTTTTACATTGAAAAGGTGATGAATTTTGTCAAATGCTTTTCCTGAAGGGATTGATATAACTATATGAGTCTTTTGTAGTTTGTTGAAAACTAGGATATAGAACTGATTAAAATAAAGAAACCAAAATGTGCAATATTCTACGTGTTAACTGATAATGATTGCTAAAGAATAATATTCAGAACTGATAAACATTTAGAGAAACAGGCACTCCCAATACATCACTGAGGCAAACTTAAATATATCAATATTTTTGCAAGATAATTAACAACATTTAACAAATTCCTTAAAGAGACCCTTTTACCCAGTGTTACCATTTCTAGACATTCTATAGGAGATTATTTGGTGAAGGTGGTTCTTTTCATGTCTGGGAGGGGGTCAGAAGGAACCCTCAAGATGAAATTAACAATTGAAGAGCTCACAATACACTAAGGCCAGCAGGTCAAACCCACGTATTTCATGTCTCCCGACATGGCTTATACCAGGAACAGAGCCAGCAGGGGCCGGCGACATGGAAGTTGAGGCAGTGTATTCATAGGTAAATTAGGCTGGGCCTGAAAGATCCAGATGACAGTATAGCAAAATGGCTTCTTTATGAAATCAATTCACTTGAACACTGGCAAATAACATGTTTATTTTTTTTATTATTATTTTTAAAGATTTTATTTATTTATTCATGAGAGACACAGCGAGAGAGAGAGAGAGAGAGAGAGGCAGAGACACAGGCAGAGAGAGAAGCAGGCTCCATTCAGGGAGCCTGACACAGGACTCGATCCAGGGTCTCCAGGATCACACCCCGGGCCGAAGGCGGTGCTAAACCACTGAGCCACCCGGGCTGCCCTGAGCCAGCAGGGCTGCCCAAATAACATGTTTATAAAGCACATCTTGTCTAATTGTTTTTTAATCTTTCTTATTTTTATTTTTTAAAGATCTTATTTATTTATTCATGAGAGACACACAGAGAAAGGCAGAAACACAGGCAGAGGGAGAAGCAGGCTCCATGCAGGAAGCCCGACTTGGGACTTGATCCCAGAACTCAGGATCATGCCCCAAGCCAAAGGCAGACACTTAACCACTGAGCCACCCAGGCATCCCCATCTTGTCTAATTGTAAAGGAGACTTTTTAGTGTTGATAAATAGCAACCCAAACATGGGTTGTACTGAGGACTCAGAACAGCAGTAGATACAGGGGGCAGGCAGTGGGCAGAAAGGGAAGCCTGTACACTTGATCCTAAGTCCTTCCTGGGCTGAACAAAGCATTGGGTGAAGTACATGCCTTTAATCATGAATCTTATTAAGTGTAGCCACACCACATCTGCAAAGTTTCATTTCCTACCGTTCAATGACATAAAAGTTGTCTCCATCATCTCCTTGGTCAATGACATGCTCATCAACTTTGACTGTTCTTTCAAACATGGCATCAAGGACTTGAGAAAGTTGTTCCTGCAAGGTACACACACAAAGAGAAAAGGCGGCTTTTATACTGGCTGTGAAAAAAATGACTGCTTATCTCAGTTTGCAACTACAAGGTGGAAGTACACATATAGGATTGTTCCCCATATTCAAACAATATCCTAAAAGCTGTCTGAAACAAATGTTTTCCCCTGACCGTTCAGCTTTGTACCTCCATGTACACAGCACAGTTGCCAAGTATTTTTGAGGCAGTACTGTTTTGAAAAAACATTCCATAATTTTTGCAAAACTAGGTATCTCAGTTATGGTACCCATTCTCCCAGTTGCACCCATCAGGCGCCTTGATGGCTCCACTATACCATCTGCAAACCATGCAATGCCATCTTCCTATGGGTGTTGATCTTAACAGGATCATCAAATCTTTTTTTTTTTTTTTTTTTGGAACATCACATCTAAAGGGCTGGGATAGACTTAGAAGTTACCTTACAGAGTAGCACAACTGCTCTCACTAGTCACGCACAGTACTTAACCTCTCTGAGCCTCAGTTAACACATATTTTAAAAAGTGCTTACTAGTTTCTAGCTCATTGATTTTTATGACTAAAAGAGAAAAATCTAAGGAAAAGTATCACACAACAGGTACTCAAAAATTGAGATCTATTCAAACATCTATATACAACACATATAATGACTTACTTATTGTTACCTGCTATAATCAGAAGGTAACTGTATTGATAAGTATAGTGAAAACAAAACAATGCTATTAAATTCTAACAAAACAGTGGTCTCAGTCTAGGGCCAGCATCCCTCTGTCAGGAAGGGAGATCACTGGCTGTCAGGGGGCACTAATGAGTATCAGCTTCAGCTCAAAGAAAGACTCTCCTTGGAGGAATGTGGACTGAAGACGTGGCAAGGAAAAATTTTATTGTTGCATAATTCCATGTGATTCAGTGTCTGTCAGTAAGACTGTGCTACCTAAAAATAACTGAGTATCACTAAAAGCATCTCTTTAGGGATCCCTGGGTGGCGCAGCGGTTTGGTGCCTGCCTTTGGCCCAGGGCGCGATCCTGGAGACCCGGGATCGAATCCCACGTCGGGCTCCCGGTGCATGGAGCCTGCTTCTCCCTCTGCCTGTGTCTCTGCCTCTCTCTCTCTCTCTCTCTCTCTGTGACTATCATAAATAAATAAAAATTAAAAAAAAAAAAAAAAAAAAAAAAGCATCTCTTTATTTCCATAGTTTCATGTGTGTTGAATATAAGCCGACAAATACTATAAGGGAAGTGATGTTCACATGCATTCCACATTCACATGGAATGTGAGCCCAATGTTGCCAGAAATCTCATGTTTAAAATACAGGTACCAACTCAAATTTTCAAGTACAATACAGACCAAACACATATACCTGTACCTAGCTATAACTGGCCTGTGGGCTGTCCATTGGCAGCTTCTTGTTCTAAGTAACTCTTCTCTGGCCTGGACTCTTCAAAAACATCAGTATCATAAGATACAGAATAAGGTGTAAGGGGAGGATTCTAGGCTGGAGATGACTAAAATGATACCATGACAACTAAAAGCAACACGTGATTCAGGACTGAAAAACAAAACAAAAAAGCTATAGAGAACTTTACTGGGGAAATCTGAATATGGAATGGATGCGAGATAACATTACTGCATCAATGTTAATAATGGTATTGTGCTAATTTAGGAGAGTATCTTTGTTCTTAGAAAATATATCTTTAGGTATTTAGGGGCCAAGAGTCAAGATGTCTTAAACACATTTATAAATGGCTCAGGACAAAAGAAAAAAGCAGTTTACATGTACTTATGTGTGCGTACATACACACATGAAAGAAAATAAATGTGGCAAAATGTTAACAACCCGTCAGTCTAGGTAAAGGTACACGAGTGTTCATGATACTATTCTTTTTATTTTCCTGTAAATTTGAAAATTTAAAACCAGAGATTTGGATAATAAATTTTTATTTTATTTACATATTTTTATTTCTTTTTTAAAGTATGCTTTATATCCAAAGTAGGTGTAAATAAATATTTACAAACTGAAACAAATACACTCACCAGAATGGCTAAAATTTGAGAAGATGGGCAATCCCAAATATTGGTAAGGATATGGAGCAACTGGGAAGCTCATGTATTGTTGAATGCAAATGGTAAACCACTTTTAAAAAGACCTGGCAGATTTTTGTAAAATCTAACATACACCTACCCTATGACTTAGCAATTTTGCCCTCAGTTATTTTACTGAGGAGAAATGGGTGGGGGGGGGAGTTCACAAAAAACATGTACAAAATATCCACAGCATTATTCCTAAGAGCTAAAAACAAGAAATAGACCAGGTATCCATCAACAGGGGAAAAAAAAGAATTAGCAAACTGGTATTTTCATATAATGGCATATTACTCAGCAGCAAAAGAGGAATGAACTAACATCACCAGCAATAAGGCATGCTGACATTATGGACCCCTTGAAATGATGCTCTGAGAAAAAGACAATATACTTTCTTTGGGAGTCAGGCCAAGAATGTATATCCATATTCCATAGTCATAAGGAAACATCAGACAAATCCAATTGAGGTGCGTTCTATAAAATAACGAACCAGTACTCTTCAAAGCGTCAAGATCATGAAAGACCAGAAAGGACTGAAAACTATGACAGGCTAAAGAGAAATAAGAACTAAATTACAAAGTGGGATTCTGAACTGGATCCTTAACCAGAAAAATAAAACCATAAGTGAGAGAAAACTGGTGAAATCTCAATAAGAGTTGTAGTTTAGCCAATAGTATTGTAACAGTGTTAATTTCCTGGTTTCGCTCATTGTCCTATGGTTATGTTAAGATGTAGGAGATCCCTGGGTGGCTCAGACGTTTAGCTCCTGCCATCGGCCCAGGGCGTGATCCTGGAGTCCCGGGATGGAATCCCACATCGGGCTCTCTGCATGGAACCTGCTTCTCCCTCTGTCTGTGTCTCTCATGAATAAATAAAATCTTAAAAAAAAAAAGTTGTTTATACCAGGGGAAGCTGGATGAAGAATATATGGGAATTCTGTACTGTTTTTGCAGCTTTTTTTGTCAGTCTAAAACTAATTCAAAATAAAAAGTGAAAAAGGAAAAGAAATGAACTACTGATAAATGCAACAGGGATGAGCTTCAAAAATTGCTGTGTGGGGATCCCTGGGTGGCGCCTGCCTTTGGCCCAGGGCGCGATCCTGGAGACCCGGGATCGAATCCCACATCGGGCTCCCGGTGCATGGAGCCTGCTTCTCCCTCTGCCTATGTCTCTGCCTCTCTATCATAAATAAAAAAAAAATAAAAAAAAGAAGTGGAGACCGAGATAATTCTATAGAAAGAGATAATTCTATAGAAAGGTCTCTTTAAAAAAAAATTGCTGTGTGAAAGAAGTCTCACACAAAAGAGTGCACACTGTACGATTCCATTTATATGAAATCTGAGGAGAGGCAAAATTAATTTATTGTAGAATAAATCAAAATCGTAGTTGCCTCTGAGAGGAGACAGGGCCAGAATTGATCACAAGGGGGCATGAGGGCATTTTTGCGGGGTGTTTAACAAATGTTAAATGATTTGTTAGGGAATTTGGGTCACCCAAATGTATACATTTGTCAAACCTCAACGAATGCACTTAAAACTTACACATTTCATTGCATGTAAACTTTATATCAAAAGACTATAAGTGGGACCCTTGGGTGGCTCAGTGGTTGAGCGTCCACCTTCGGCTCAGGGCATGATCCCGAGGTCTGGGATCGAGTCCCACACTGGGCTCCCTGTGAGGAGCCTACTTCTCCCTCTGCCTCTCTCTGTGTGTCCCTCATGAATAAAGAAATAAAATCTTTTTTTTTAAAGGTTTATTTATTTATTTATTTATTCAGAGAGAGCGAGAGAGAGGCAGAGACACAGGCATAGGGAGAAGCAGGCTCCATGCAGGAAGCCTGACGTGGGACTCGATCCCGGGTCTCCAGGATCACACCCCGGGCTTCAGGCGGCGCTAAACTGCTGCGCCACCGGGGCTGCCCTAAAGAAATAAAATCTTAAAAAAAAAAAAAAAAGACTTTATGCAAATATTGAAATTTAGTTCCATGATACACATGCCAAAGTATTTAAAGAAAAGTATAGAGGATCCCTGAGTGGCTCAGGGGTTTAGCGCCTGCCTTTGGCTCAGGGCGTGATCCTAGGGTCCCGGCATCGAGTCCCACATCAGGCTGCCTGCATGGAGCCTGCTTCTCCCTCTGCCTGTGTCTCTGCCTCTCTCTCTCTCTCTGTGTGTGTGTCTCTCATGAATAAGTAAATATCTTTAAAAAAATTAAAAAATAAAGGAAAGTATAATGATATCTACAACTTACTCTGAAACGAACCCAAAAGAGTAAGACGGGTTAATGGAGGAGCCAGCAAACAGCTGCCTGTTTCTATAAATAATGTTTTACTGGAACACAGCCATACGTTTTCATTTATGTATGGTCTATGGCTACTTCCCTGATACAATAACAGAGGTGAATAGTTATAACAGACATACTTACTACCTAGTTCTTTAAGAAAAAGTTTACTGACCTCTTTGCTGAAAGATGGGTAGGTGGTAAGATAGCAAGCATAATAAAATGTTACTCATAGAATCAAAGCAGTGGATAAGTATGTGTTCCATAGAAGTTTCTCAACTTTATTGTATTTGAATATTTTCATGACAAAAATGTTAGAAAAATATAATTAAATATGAAATTTTAGTTATAAATGAAATGGTAAAATGGTTTTCTTCAATACTAAGAAAACTGTGAATATTAGATTGACAGAGCAATTTCCCTTAGAATATCTGATGATATAAAATTTACAAGGGGTTTTGTTCAGTAGGTAAAGCAGCAAGTCTTCTTTCCATTGATACAGATGGATCTTCTAGGGAAAATAGGTGACACAGACCAGTATTTCTCACAATCAGCCTTTCCTTGAGGTCATGGTCTTTTTTTTTTATTCAGCCTGAGACTAATAAAACTGACTAAAGTTCTGGCTATTCTTTTTTTTTTTTTTTAAGTTTTCTTGGCTAGTTTATTTTTTTTAATTTTTATTTATTTTATAATAGTCACAGAGGGAGAGAGAGAGAGAGAGAGAGAGAGAGGCGCAGAGACATAGGCAGAGGGAGAAGCAGGCTCCATGCACCGGGAGCCCGATGTGGGATTCGATCCTGGGTCTCCAGGATCGTGCCCTGGGCCAAAGGTAGGCGCCAAACCGCTGCGCCACCCAGGGATCCCAGTTCTGGCTATTCTTAAAACCACACAGACTGGTTTACAGATACCAGGGATGGTTGTGAGGATGTCATCCGAAGACTTATTTGCAGGAGCTGGGTAGTAGTAGAATTCTAATTCCATCCTTCATGTCTCTGCACATTCTAGGCTTCTCTGGTAGGCCCAGTACCTCAAGCCATTTATGTAGCTTCAGTGTGTGGCTCTCAAAGTAGAGGAGTAATGAAGTTTGAAGATTCTTCAACCTCCTGAGGTAGCCCCTACTCTCTATCTTCACCAAGGGAGGGAAGACATTCCCAGAAGAGATTCTATACCAGAGTCCTGCAGACACCCACTCCTCCCCACACCTGAGGTCTTTGCTGAGAAGTAATCACAAGAGGTGCCTCACATCGAAGGCCTGAGAAGTCATGCACTTCTAGTGGGTTAACTGCTACCAGAGAAGAGAATTCCATACTAGCATCTTTGGAGAAATTACTCTGCAGCATAAATTCAGACCCTCTAAACTAAGCCAGAGTCATGCAAACCTGTTTATCTCCTTTTAACATGACCAAACTGCATGGTCCTCAAATGGTATTTTCTTGGAGGAAGTACCAAAGCAATTCAGAGAAATACTGGAAGTCATCTGAAAAGCTCATTATAAGTTATGATAGGCAACACACTGCAAACATTTGTAAGTAAGATGAATCTAAAGTTTTATGACTCATTTGGCTGAGGCTAAGATAACAAAAACTGTTTAAATGACAAATATAGAAAAGCTAAAAGACAAAAATATTAAAAAAAAACAACAACGTTACCTGATCAAGATTTTTGAAAAGGAGAATATCTTTGCAAGCCTCCTGAAGTCTGCATCTCTGTTGATCAGTTTTAGGATGAATCACCTGTTAATCCAAATGAAACCAGGGAAATATTTTTATTCCATTTAACAATCTGACTTTATTTACAGATCAGTAATTTTCTTTCTCCTAAAAAGTAGGGAAAACTAAGAGTTTGTTTACTGTAACTTTAATTCTATACAAATACTAAGCAGTGTCCTTGACCATGGAGGGGCAAGGTGATGGGGGCAGAGCACCCACCCTGGGGCACTCACTGACTGTGTGACTGGCAGCAAGTCAGCTATCCCCTGGGAGCCTCAGCATCCTTGTCTGTAAAGCAGAGGGCTATAGATTTGTTCATTCAACAGATATTAAGCATCTACTAGGTGCCAGGCACTGTTCCACCTTTAGGGACACAGGGAATACACAAATAAAAACACCTGCTCTCATCCAGTAAATCTGTAAAATATGTAAGAGAGTGACAAGGACAGGAGAAAAAAAAAAGGTGGGGAAAGGTAATAAAAAAAGGTATGTGTGGAGTGAGCGGATGAGGCCTCACTGAGAAGGTGATATTTGTGTAAAGATCTCAAGGAAGTGAGGATGATCTGAGGGAGTGAGTCATGTGGACATCTCTATGGGAAGAGCACCTCAGGCAGAGAGAACAGCAAGTGAAAACAAGGCCTTGTGGTAGGTGAAAAGCATGTCTGAGAAACAACTAGGAGATGGGTGTGACTCATTCGGAGCAAGGGTGAAAGATCAGGAAGAGACCAAGTTGAGGGCTTAGGTGAGGGAAATGCTCAAATCACAGAGGGCATTACAATGCAGAACTACAACTTTTCCCTAGTCACATGGGGGCAATTTGAAGGTTCTGACTGAGGAATGAAAAAGATCTGACTAATGTTTTTAAAGGTTCACACTGACTATCGAGTGAAGAACAGCCTTGAGTGAAGAGTGGAAGCCAGGAAACCACTGTGATTATTCCAGTGCCAGATCGTGTTGGTCAGGGGGGCAGAGGGGAAGGGAGACAGCTTGCAGCCGACTCCCCACTTACACAGAGCCCAACATGGGGTTTGATCTCATGATGCTGAGATCATGACCTGAGCTGAAATCAAGAGTCAGATGCTTAACTGACTGAGCCACCCAGGTGCCCCCACTAAAAAACTTTTAGTTTTTTAAAACTTTTAACTTTTAAAAGTCATCAATAAAAAAAAAAAGTCATCAAGAATTTTATAATATCCAGAATGAATTTTTTAAATTTACATATCTATTAGATTCACACAATGGTACCATTTTATTATTAGAATACTTGAGAAATCTTTCATGGACTGCTCGTTTTAAGGCATACTTAAAAGATCACTGAAGCTTCTTTTATAGTATCAGTCTTTTAAAAGTGGTGATTCAGATATGCTTTTATAAAAATAATTTGGGGGCAGTCTGGGTGTCTCAGCGGTTTGGCACCTGCCTTCAGCCCAGGGCGTGATCCTGGAGACCCGGGATCAAGCCCCACGTCGGGCTCCCTGCATGGAGCCTGTTTCTCCCTCTGCTTCCCTCTCTCTCTCTCTCTGTCTCTCATGAATAAATAAATAAAATCTTTACCAAAAAAAAATAATAATAAGGAAAATAAAAATAATTTGGTAATAGTACAAAAGTTTAAAAATCTGAGTTTTTTTAAATTTTTTTTAAGTTTTTATTTATTTATGATAGTCACAGAGAGAGAGGGGGGGGGGGCAGAGACATAGGCAGAGGGAGAAGCAGGCTCCATGCACCGGGAGCCCAATGTGGGACTCGATCCCGGGTCTCCAGGATCGCGCCCTGGGCCAAAGGCAGGCGCTAAACCGCTGCGCCACCCAGGGATCCCAAAATCTGAGTTTTTAAGGACCAAAGTGAACCATAGTCCTGCCACAACCACTGTTAACATCTGGGATATATTCTTCCAGAATAATTATTTGTACTAATAAACACTAGACAGATGGATAAACATATATATGTATGTATGTATGTATGTGTGTGTGTATGTATTTTAAAGTTTATTTACTTTTTAAAGTAATCTCTATACCAAAAGTGGGACTTGAACTCACAACCCCGAGGTTAAGTGTTGAATGCTCTTCCAACTAAGCCAACCAGACACCTCAGATTAATATATTTTTTTAAGTTATTTATTGAGTGTAGGGTCAAGAACCACTTGGATCCCTTGCTGTTAAATCTGGTCCTGTACCATCATTTCCAATGGCTGCCGATTCTCTTAATTTGAATGTACCATAACTTAGCCCCTGGTAATCCCCTATTTTGAGGCATTGTTCCCATTTTTAACTACTACAACACTGCAATGATCTCTGTACATCCTCAGGAAGGATCCAGCTATTTGTCAAGGATGAATTCTCTTTCAGAATGAGTCAGTTGGCTTGACTATATTTAAGGCTTTGACAGTTACAGGTAGGCACCCCTTCTTACCATAACCTCAACCAGTCCTGCTTTCATTCTTCTTAATATCTGTCAAACTGGTGATAAAAAATATAGCACCTTGTTGAAATTTTAATTTGTATTCATTTAAATTATCAGCATGATGTAGAGGAGGAGGGGAGTTAAGTACAGAATAAAATAAGGCAGTAAGTGCTGCCTTTGCAGCAGTTCTTACCCTTGGATCAGTATCTTCCTCTTCCTCATCAGGGTTATAGGTCTCAGCACAGACTAAATTTGGAGAGAAAAACATAAAGAGAAAAGTGAATAAAACAGATGTGTGCTTTTACTGGAAAAATAGGAAGTGAACGTAGTTTCCTGTTATTCACTGGTTTCTAAAGCTGTGATGATTTTAAAGCCCTTTCAGCAATTAACAAATATATTAAGTACCTACTCATGTCAGGAATTCTATTAGGTACTAAAAGGCCAGCCTTCTAGGGATCAGTAGTCTCAAATAGGAGAGAGTTGATAAAATATATCATAGAGAAAATCTTATGATAGTGGCAAGGACAAGGAAAGAGGTACTATCTCTGCTGAATTTTTTTTAAGATTTTATTTATTTATTCATGAGAGACAGAGAAAGAGAGAGAGGCAGAGACACAGGCAGAGGGAGAAGCAGGCTCCAGGCAGGGAGCCCGACGCAGGACTCGATCCCGGGTCTTCAGGATCATGCCCTGGGCTGGAGGCAGTGCTAAACCGCTAAGCCACCTGGGCTGCCCTCTCTGCTGAATTTTTAAGCATGGGTAGAAAAATCAGAGTACAACATATGCAATATAAACACATGGATATGGATATGGAGTAATTATGAAAAGAATCAATTAAAATTGTTCAACATCATTCTGTACATAAATGATTTAAAAATAAGAACGAATTTTATTTTATTTTATTTTATTTATTTTTACAGATTTTACTTATTTATTCATGAGAGACAGAGAGGCAGAGACACAGGCAGAGGGAGAAGCAGGCTCCCTGCAGGAAGCCCGATTCAGTACTCGATCCCAGGACCCTGGGATCACGACCTGAACTAAAGGCAGACACTCAACTGCTGAGCCACCGAGGCCAACTGCTGAGCCACCGAGGCACCCCAATAAGAATGAATTTTAAACAAAATGAATACTATGTGTCAGTCTTTCTTCTGGGTACAATATTATACAAATCTAAAATCAACTGGATTTTCCTTGTAGGTAACCTGTGTTTGTTGCACTGGTTGGCTGCAGGACTTGTCTCTCTTGCAATTCAAAGATTCAGAAAATATTCACTGAATATTTGTAATAGAAAAATATCAGAAATTATAGAACTATAAAAAATATGATATAACTATTTGAATAATACACTACAAGAAAAAAATGAGGAAGCTCTCCAAGGGCTAATAGGGATTTCTAGGGAAAAAAGCAAAATGAAGGATATATGTAGTATGTTCTCCCTTCCGTAAAGGATTTCTATGAGAAAGAAGGAACACTAAGATGAGGGAAAAAAAAAAAAAATATATATATATATATATAAATATCAATATATACATAAAAGTTTTTTTTTACCTGTTTATTTTTACAAAGGGAAACAGAGAAGGATAAACCAGGAAGTTAGCAGGCAAGGAATCCAAATGGTTCGTGACCCTACACTCAATGCATTTGTATTATAGCTAACAACTAGGGGATACATACTGCTTTCAATTTAACTCCTGGCTTATTAGACACATTTACTCACTGCAGCCTTGGTCTAGTTGCATCCCAGCTTCCCCTTCCTACTGATTCTCTGAATGCATGGAACACCTGAGAAATGGTGTATCAGGCAGAGAGGAGTCCCTTCCCTGCCTACCCTACGGTACTCTAGTGTGGTCACACCTCCTGTACTGTAAATAACCATCAATACTCTGCCTGTCCAACAGGGATCCAGTATCCTTACCCAGAGAAAAATTAGGGAGAAGGGAGTAAAAGGACATATACTATTCTAGTATAAAACAGCACCAGATAATGTTCTGCAGGAAGGTCTGCTTAGTCCCTGACTGGTACATGCTTCAGGTAGCTGAGCCAGGGAAGTGACAACAGGATGTAGATAATGACGCACTAACTTTCTCCAAGCCATTCCTGATTCCACAAGATGAGGTCAGCTACATTTATCTCAGATCTGTCCTAAAGATTAAGAAACATACTTTCCTGAGTTCCTAGACATATTGCTGCCACTTTTTTGCACCTTCATAGATTATTTTGGTAGATTTGAGGAAGCTGCATTGCGGACACACTATTAAATTGCAAGCCTCTTGGCTCTCTGTGCTCTTAATATTGTCATTAGCAGCCTAGTTTTCCAAACCAGAAATTTGTAACTCACCATTACTTCTTTCATTCACCTCTTACCCAATGAATACATCAAATTCTCCTTCAGAAATATTCTCATATTGGGGATCCCTGGGTGGCTCAGCAGTTTAGCGCCTGCCTTTGGGCCCAGGGTGTGATCCTGGAATCCCAGGATCAAGTCCTGCATCAGGCTGCCTGCATGGAGCCTGCTTCTCCCTCTGCCTATGTCTCTGCCTCTCTCTCTGTGTCTCTCTCATGAATAAAATTTAAAAAAAAGAAAAAAAAAAGAAAGAAATATTCTCTTATCTGACCTTTATTCAGTGTACTTCAATTGCTACTTCTTGGTCCAGGACCTCAAAATATCTTCTTAGATAAATGCATTTAAAAACCCTCACTTTAGGGATGCCTGGGTGGCTCAGCAGTTTAGCGTCTGCCTTTGGCTCGGGGCGTGATCTTGGGGCCCTGGGATGGAGTCCCACATCAGGCTCCCTGCTTGGGGCCTGCTTCTCCCTCTGCCTGTGTGTCTGCCTCTCTCATGAATGAATAAGTAAAATCTTAAAAAAAAAAAAAACCCTCACTTTGGAGACAGATGGGTACATGACTATTATTATACTTTCTCTACTTTTACATATGTATGAAAATTTTCATTTAAAAAGTTTAAAATAATAAGTCTGTGATGATGAGACGGACAGGATTTTATTGATAATGACATAGTCTTGGGCTAGCCTATTTCCAGGCTTGCTTTTCCTCTGATTTTGAAGGAAAGTACTTCAGTGACTTAGTTTGTTTTTATGGTTTTATTTTTTAAAAAAAGACTCAAGGGATCCCTGGGTGGCGCAGCGGTTTAGCGCCTGCCTTTGGCCCAGGGCGCGATCCTGGAGACCCGGGATCGAATCCCACGTCGGGCTCCCGGTGCATGGAGCCTGTTTCTCCCTCTGCCTGTGTCTCTGCCTCTCTCTCTCTATCTGTGTGACTGTCATAAATAAAAATTAAAAAAAAAAGACTCAAAGGTTTTTTTTTTGACTCAAAGGTTTTTTCAGTTATATATATATTTTTAATTTTTATTTACTTATGATAGTCACACACAGAGAGAGAGAGAGGCAGAGACATAGGCAGAGGGAGAAGCAGGCTCCATGTACCGGGAGCCTGACATGGGACTCCATCCCAGGTCTCCAGGATCACGCCCTGGGCCAAAGGCAGGCGCCAAACCGCTGCACTACCCAGGGATCCCCTTCAGTTATCTTATTACTGATGTGTAGAATTGCTGACAGTTTTTTTAACGTTTTTATTTTATTTTATTTTATTCATTTTTTATTGAAGTTCAATTTGCCAACATATAGTATAACACTCAGTGCTCATCCCATCAAGTGCCCTTCTCAGTGCCCATCCCCCAGTTACCCCAACACCCCTGCCCACCTCCCCTTCCATAACCCTTTGTTCCTTTTCCAGAGTTAGGAGTCTCTCATGCTTTGTCTCCCTCTCCATTTTTTCCTCACTCAGTTCCCCTCCTTTCCCTTATAATCCCTTTCACTATTTCTTATATTCCCCGTCTGAGTGAAACCATGTGATGTCCTCCTCTGATGACTTACTTTGCTCAGCATAATACCCTCCAGTTCCATCCACGTCAAAGCAAATGGTGGGTATTTGTCCTTTCTGATGGCTGAGTAATATTCCATTGTATATATATATCACATGTTCTTTATCCATTCATCTGTCGAAGGACATCATGGCTCCTTCCACAAGTTGGCTATTGTGGACATTGCTGCTATAAACATTCGGGTGCAGGTGTTCCGGTGTTTCACTACATCTGTATCTTTGGGGTAAATACCCAGTAATGCAATTGCTGGGTCATAGGGTAGCTCTATTTTTAACTTTCTGAGGAACCTCCACACTGTTTTCCAGAGTGGCTGCACCAGTTCACATTCCCACCAACAGTGCAAGAGGGTTCCCTCTTCTCCACATCCTCTCCAACATTTGGAGAGTTGTTTCCTGTCTTGTTAATTTTCCCCATTCTCACTGGTGAGAGGTGGTATCTCATTGTGGTTTTGCTTTGTATTTCCCTGATGGCAAATGATGTGGAGCATTTTCTCATGTGCTTGTTGGCCATGTGTATGTCTTCTCAAAGGTCTTTTTTTTAAAAAAGATTTTATTTATTTATTTTGAGAGAGAGAGAGAGAGCACAAGTGCACACATGCATGCATGCCTGAGCAGGTGGGGGAGGGTGGGGGAGAATCTCAAGCGGACTCCATGCTTAAAAGCACAGAGCCTGGCTGAGCACAGAGCCTGGCTCAGGGTTCAATCTCACCACCCTGAGATCAGGACCTCTGTCAAAATCAAGAGTCAGATGCTTCACCAACTGAGCCATCCAGGTGCCCCTCGTTTTTATATTTTTAGACATTAACCTAACTCAGGCAATAAATGTTACAGTCTTCAAGTCCTAAGGTGCAGCACTGTGATTTAAGCAAAAATAGTTATTTCCAGTAAAATTATTAATTCTTTTTGTGGAAAAACATTATGTCTTTATTTCCCAAAACTTGGTTTTGAATTTTTTCCCTTTTCTTTTGAACTCCATACTCACCTCTCTTTGCCTGTTCCCTCTGTTTCTACCCAATCTCTCTACTTCTTCCTGGTCTTGATCCCAAACCACTTCTTTCATCTTCTGTATAAAAGTCCATTTTTAAAAAAGATTCTATGTATTTATTCATGAGAAGCACACAGAGAGAGAAAGAGAGAGGCAGAGACACAAGCAGAGGGAGAAGCAGGATCCATGCAGGGAGCCCAACGTGGGACTTGATCCCAGGTCTCCAGGATCACACCCCGGGCCGAAGGCGGCGCTAAACCGCTGAGCTACCAGGGCTGCCCCTAAAAGTCCATTTTTTTTTTTAAAGATTTTTATTTGTTTATTCGCGAGACACACACACACACACACACACACACACA